AATTTTAAAGCAGTCCAGGTCAGGAAGCATACATTTAGATAATTTAATCTGTAGCTTTACTAACATGCTTTACACCAGTTTTCTTTTACAGCTCTGTTAGATGTTTGCTAATAAGTGTCAGTCAGTTGTCCAGTGTTGCCACACACAGATTTGGATGTTGATTCAGGTTTATCAATAACTGCTCCACAAACCCACACATACTCATGTACACAAAAACAGACAATTAATATACAGTATAGTGGTATGCAAAAATACAAGATATCATAATGCAACTTTACAGTGCACAAGAAAATAATGACACCCAAGCGCACAAGCATTGAGTTCAACTTGGTTGGCAACTCTCTAGGTGCTTATGTGTACATTATTTAGCCAGACAGAGGACATCTGTGTTTGTTTGTGTGTGTGAGTGACAGGAAATGGGTTGATGGGCAGTAGTGTGATAGGAACTGACAATAATTTGATTCCAGCTGTCTGTGGCATCATGACCTGGAGTCTTGCTGATCAGATTAGGAAAAGGACACCAGCAAACTTCTGAAAATCTATGACTTCATCTCTCTGTGGGAAGGACATCTACTTTAGTCATTGCTGTTGGGTAATGTAATAGAAGACATCCTCTCTCCTCACTTTCTCTCTACTCCAAACCAGGCTCTTCTGAAATACATGACACTGGCTACATTTTTGCAAAACTGCAAAAACATACCAATACATTTCCCTGCAGTTTCCAGCGGAAAAGAACACTAGAGGCAGTAAAACACTAATACAAACTTTTTGCGTGGTTTCTTGTTTTGGCCCTTAAAACACTTACCACAGAGGTAATAAACATCGGCTTATGTAAAACTACATACGTAGTGTATTAAAATTCCACATGTATAGCTTTTCTGAGGCAGTCAATTTGCTTGCTAGCTCACTTGATACAGCATTGCACTTGTGATGTGAAGAGCTTATACTGTATGTCCAATGAAACACATCATGATAAAAGAGTTTAAACATTCATAAAAGCAAGCTAATATTAGCCTACTTGCTTCAGCAAATAAATTTTTATATCTTTTTATTTCTTGCATTCCAGCCTTGTCGTTACGCGTTGACTGCCAGCTCTGCATAATTAAGGCTCTTGAGATCCCTATCAAAAACTATTCTTGATGCTGCTTTTCAATAACGCTTATGAGAACATTCTTTGTTCGACCAGTTGTAAATCATGTGTGTCAAACACGCCTCGGTAGGTGACGTCATTTGATTGCATGCACCTGAGGGGTTATAAATAGACGTGAAACGGACACAAATTTAGGTTTCTTTGTCTTCAAGGATCGTTTTGTGTGTGAGAGAGAATTTTCTCCATGCTGCATTGCAGTTTATCTTTTCTTTAAAAGAAAGAAAACAAATATTACTATGTCAGAGTCTGTGAAGAAATGCGTGCCTCCTTGTTCGAGGCTCATCTCAGAGGATGACCCGCATAAGTTTTGCTTCAAGTGTTTGGGGGATGAGCACGCTGCCCTCGGGCTCGAGGGAGAGTGCGAGCACTCTGACGTTTTGCCCATCAAAGTGTTTCGCATGCGGCTTTCTTTCTTCAAAGAGGAGCGAGCCACCGCTCCCTCGTTAAGATCCTGGGGGTTGTATGTCGATCTGGCTGAGGCGCGAGAGACGGGTCTACCCCTTTCTCTCGTGCTATAGCTGGATCAGGAGGCCCTAGCGCCCACTTCTGAAGCGCGTCCTGGCACTTCTTCAGAATGAGCAGAGGACACTTCATCTCTTGCCTCTGCGGAGATGGAGATCGCCTCCTCAGAGCACTCCTCTCGCGAGGATAAAGCATATGAGGAGTTACTCGAGGTGGTGACATGGGCAGTCGACAGATTAAAGCTGGACTGGCCGCAGGAGCAGGAGACCTCCAAACGCTCGAAGCTGGATGACAGATTTCTGTCAGGTGGCTGGGGGGAGGGACCTCAGCGACAGTCTCTCCCCTTCTTTGGTGATCTCCATGACGAGTTATATCGTTCATGGAGTAAGCCCTACTCGTCCCATGTCTTTGTGCCATCAACGTCGATTTATTCGACCATCGTGGATGCAAATCATATTGATGATGCCCCAGGTGGAAGAGATGCTCACGGGCTATCTCTCCCCTTCTTTGAAAAAAACCTATGCTCCCCACCAAGCCTTGCAGACTGACATCTTCGCTGGTGGGGAAAGCGTTCCAAGCAGTGGTTCAGGCTGGTGCTGCCCTGCACACCATGGCGATCTTGCAG